TGTGGCTGGGTCTGTCTGTGGTGTGGCAGTGTGCACGACACCAAGGCTTGCAGGCTAGTAACGCTAGTATAGAGGATTATAGAGGTTATAGAAGGGTCTGAATGCGTAGGTGCAGTATCCTGTTTCCCGATACGTCGCCCCAAGATTCCACTTAATGACTTTTTTGCTAGAGGCTCAGAACTTACCGGCAAGGGGCCGTGGGCACGATGCTTAATGCCAAACACTTTAAACTCTAACCAGCGACACAAACTAGGCATATAATATATGTATATATATATATACACATACATTTATTTATTTACTTATTTAGTTATTTGTTTATTTGTTGGTTTGTTTATTTATTTATATTTATTTATTTATTTTATTTATATTTGTGTTTGTGTATTTATTCTTCGTTTACTTATTTATTAAATCATGTATTTGTTTATTTTATATATGTATTATATTTATCGATGTATTTATATTCTCGCTCTCTGTATATGAATGCATATATATATATACATACATACATACATCCTACAGATGCGTCAGCTTTTCACCGAATTCCGAGGCTCTCCGACGGCGCTTGTCGCCGTGCTCGTGCCTCAAGATAGTAGGAGTTCAGCAGCAGTTTGTTGTTTTGTTTTAGGGCTTCGTGTAGTTAGGCTTTGGTCAGGGTTTGGCATTTGGCAGTTTGGGGATGTAAGAGTGTTGGGTTTACGGCTTCGGCAGTCGTCCTAATGTAGTAGCACTATCTCACAGTAACCTTTAACACGAAACAACTGCCAGTGTTAATCATTTCAAGCCAGATCGATCGTGGTATCATTAATAAGCGATTCTCAAAACAAAACGGTGAGTGGTTGCTGTGTATCTCGCGTTTGAGTTTTATCGCCAGGGTCCGATGTCTGGAAGCGATACGGCCAGTGTAAATGTCGAGTGTTGGGTTGCGGCAGTATGGTCACTAGGGTGTTGAGACGTTGTTGTTCACGTTTTGTGGGCACCACTCGGAACGAACATCAACAGTATACCATACGCCAGACTCTAAATCGACATTCGATCCCGAACCTCACGACCCAGTGCTTTGCCGGCGCCGGCAAGCCCCCTCCAAAAGCATCCTATGCCATAAGACTTCCATAAGAAAGCTCCAAGCCCCTACCCTAAACTCTAAAGCCGGAAGCCCGAAAAGCTCAAATCTTTAAATCTCTTTAACAATAGCTGCCCACCCAAAACTCCCACAGCCCACCGCGAAGCTTCAAGGGGGCCGTTAAACATTTTTCAGACCGCCATATGAAGATCGATATTCCAAGTCTTAAACCGAGAGCCACAGGCCTCCAACTCTTCAGGACAGTATCTGCGCACATGCAGGCATACACGTACACATGTAGATTTGCATGTCATAGTGCGTCGTGGCCCGCTTCGCCCTTGACTTTGCTCTCGCGACCCAGGGATTTCTGGTGTCACCCACAGCGGCCAGGCCGTCGGTGTTCTTCCAACGCTGGGGGTTTTGGTTATCCGGAGATTCGTTAGATCCGCCTGGTGTTGACGGTTCTGGCTCGCTTGCTGGAGCTGGGACCTCAGCCGTTCGGACTGCTACTTGTATCGGTCTTTTGCACACGCTTCTGCTGATGTCCATTGCGATGATCTTTCTCGCAGTTCCGTCACTAGCGCGACCTATTATTTAAGACATGACTGTCTAAGTCATGCATATGCTACAAAGCCATCTGAAACTTACCTGAAACGCTAAGTTTCGGTTCGGAACGCCCCAACCTCCAAAGCCCAAGGCCCCAAACCTTCAAAACCTGAAAAAATTCTCTACAGAACCCTAGGCCGTTTCAATCAGAAAAGAGGTAGACCTTCGCTGTTAAAAGCGCGCATCTCCCACAGGCGCTCGACGGCCTGGGCCTTGGGGCACACGCTCTCCAGATCTGGGTTTTAAACGGATTTCTTGTTGTAATACTAGCAGTAGCAGTAGCAGTAGTAGTGGTAGTGGTGGTGGTAGTGGTGGTAGTAGCAGAACAGGTGCAGACGCAGGAGTAGGAGTGAGCGTAGGAGTAGGGGTAGGAAGCAGGAAGGAGGATAAGGAGGACGAGGAGAATTATCATTGTTTACCACTGCTATTTGTAGGTCTTCCTCAGCACCGACTGACTCGGCCACCACTGGTGGCTCTAGGATCTATCTTTGGCAACTCCAAACTTTTATCTGATAAAGATTCCATCGACAACAACCCAACCTCCTTAGCTTTAGGCCCTTCACTCGGTTTATCCACGCTCTTGAAACCCGAACAGCCCAACATCTCAAGTCCCACTCCATGGATCCTGTCTGAAGCCAACTCTATGAGGCGCGAAGCCAACCGGGCAGTTTTCCCGTGGGCTCCTTCCCGGAGTCGCCCCTGCAAGGTGCCTCACCAAATGGCGGGTAATGAGAGAGCTTTCCTTCTACGTCTACTGCTACTTCTACTTCTACTTATTCTTCTCTTTATTCTTCTTCTGCTTCTTCTTCTTCTACGTCTTCTTCTGCAACACTTCACTACTGCTGCTGCTACTACTAGTCCTGCCGCTACTACAGCAGCATCAGCACCGCCAACACCATTATCATACCACCGCAAGCAGCACTACGAGGCAGCAAGCATCATGGCTACAACTGCAGCACCCCACCACCGTTGCAAAAGTCGCTGTCTGTAGCTTTAGCAGTGAAAAGCAAGAGCAACATCAATGGCACAGCAGCAAAATATCAAACAGCTGAGACAGACGCCGGAAGGCACCAAGTTTTAGTGCTTGTGAGACTAGCGGAAGGATGTGAAAGTCGCAGGTCTTTTAAAATTTTTGGATTTTGCATGAGAGGGTGGTAGTGTTTGCAGCATCCCCAGGATGGGGACTCAGAAGTCTGTTGCGGACTCTGTCGCACCGCATTTTGAAGCTCGAGTCCCAAAGCCAGTGCGTTGCTGCAGTGGACTTTGCTGTAAGGCTTGTGATCTCGGATGGACCACGTCAAAGGATCACACAGGCCAGCCGTGAGTGTCGTAACTGTTGCCGATAAGTCGTCCTCCCCACTGGTGCTCGGAGCCATGCATTGCATAGTGCTGCTTCAGCACCCCCCGGGCCCACACACAACTTCTGCAGGCAGTATGTCCATATGGCATCATCTCCCTTTTGGGTCTGGGTCTGGGGGTTATCTCATTCTTCTTGTCGCTCACTTGGAGACGGGCAGAAGCCCTTTCCTGTGACCTGCACGACTTCCTCATAACCACTGGTCCACGGCTCTAAATCTGTAAGTTAACTTTATGAGCTTAGATGTACAGGGTACGTATGTCTGTGTGTGTGTGCGTATATAATATGCACTGATCAGGTGTGTTTGCGAAGCGTCTATGAGTCTGCATGCCCACCGTCTATCTCTCTCGTGTGGCATGGCATGAGTATGCACGTCCATGTGTGTCTAAGTACATGTAATTGCATACACACAGACGGGTGCATACTCACATGTCCAGACACAGGAACCTCATGGCATCTGATGGCAGCCTGTGCCAGGTTTGGACTCCGAGCTTGCACGATCTTCCCCGCACTTGCTGACGGCCCGGCAGTGGACTGCGAAGCGACGTACTGTACACTGTACACACTCCCTTAAAGACAGGGTATGTTTGGGGAAGGGATCTACTTAAGTCTTGGCTCTTCACAGACGAAGCTGTTGGGCTTGGGACCGCGGCCTGACGCGAAAGCTTACGAGGCCGTGCAGTAGTTCCCATGTACCCGTTTATCTTGGTCCGCCTTCTTGAGACTCTTGTTTTCAGCGGCTCCGAGGTTATAAGGTCATGGCTAAACTGCCCAGAAATTTATGGGTTCACGCCCTTCCCTTCGTTGGCAGCCTGGAAGATGCTGGCAAGAACCGTCCCTTCAGCCCAGAACCTGAGCCTCGCGTCAGTTTTACGGGCCTTCCATGCAAAATGGAGTCAAAGCCGAAAACCTTCACAAAACCCTCTCAAATTTTCTGGAAACCTCTTAGGCAAGTGCGTGCCACTCAGATCAGGATCCTACAGACAAGCTTCATCGACTCCTGTCTGCAGGGCCTGACCTCGGTCCTGACGGAGACGCTGGAGGAGCCTTCGGAAGCGACAGGCCCGGGAGTTCCTGATGCCTCTAATGCGCTACTGTTTTGGCTTCCTTAAGGATTGGGTTCATGTGTTTTTAGATGGGGCCCCTATTCAGGATTCTGTAGAGTTCCGGAATCACGGGATAGTCTTCCGTTGTGCATCTTGTCGTCTTGTTTGAGATCTCCGTTGCCCAGTGCAAACACGGCAGATCCTCAGCCTGGGCCTCCTGCAACCCGGAACATCGGTGAGAGCGAGACTGAGACCACGAGGCCCAAAAAAGATCAATGTTTGAAACCCGAAAAGGAAAGGGTTTCCCTTGTTCTTAATCCTAGAGACTGAACCCAGAACCATTTTTTAAAGACAAAACCTGAGTTGAAACCTTTAGCTGTGGGTTGCAGTAGACAGGTCCACCCGGCACCGTGCAGGAGAAGAAGCCCGCTGAGGCTTCACTGACCAGCCTGTGGGATGTCGGGATTCTGGGGAGCTTAGAGTTCAAGGCTTTGCAAAGTTACTGATTTAGGGCTTACAGGGTTTAGAGGTTGGGCGTTTTGACTTTGGAGCGACGGAGTGGTATTCAGGCTTGTACTTATCATCTGTTCCTACGACCCACCCGCCCCTGACTGAGCTCGAATTGTCTCGTAGGTCATAGGCATGCATGCGGGTTTTCAGCGGCTCATTTTTCTGGCCTTCTTCAGAAGCAGACCATCTCCCTGCCTCGCAAAGTATGTCCTGCATGTCTGGATGTCGGTCACGGGGGGGCTTCCGACGGCGCGTTCGGCAATTCTCGCATGGAATATTTCTGAGGCATAACATGCACAGAGTTTCTAATTCTAACGGTAAGCCCTTGCAGAACCCAGTACAAACCCTGGAAAACCCGTATATAGTATATTCCTTCAGAAAGGGGTATTGGCATTGGGCTTTTTGGCTCTCTGAGCAGGTGCCAACTCTGAAGCCTGCTCCGAGCCCGCGCAAGGCCAGTTGCCTCGAGCCGTTCTATTCTTCTTGGGTTTTGGGCCTTGGGTTTAGGGTGCAGAGGGTGGCTTCGGGTTTTGACATTACGGGCTAGTTTTAGCTAGGAGTTTGGGTCCGAAGATTAGGGTTTCGGTCGTCAAGTATCAGGAGCTCCCCACCTGATCGCAACACGGGACAACGCGGTGCAACATGAGTCTGACATCGCGAAAAGCATATTGAATGTGGTAGGATTTTCGCAGATTGAGTCATTGCGGACATCGTGCAACAACTTCATATCACAATGATCGAGCACTTTCCAAGAATGGCCGGCCGTGGCAGGTCCTTAAAGATTTGTCGTAATTATGGTGTGGACGGTGAACATGACACACAATAGACAAAACAACAAGGCTAGGTTTCATCGTATGTGCTGCTAGTGCGATTGCTGCTGCTGCTGCTGCTTCTTCTTTTTCTGCCCTGAACGCTGCGGTTTCTTGCGCCGAGACTGCTGCTGCATGCAGTCGTGATGGTAGCAGTGATGCTGATGTCGCCGGTGGCAGTGATAATAGAAACGATGTCTGAACAGAAGTATGAACATCAAACACATACGCACGAATTCATTGCCTATCACTTGCTAATAGTACTGCATAGTTGCCAAAGACTTTCATTGATCAGAACCAATTCTGTTGACGCGCGTGCTGTTTGGGACGCTCTTGCTTAACACTGTTCTGATTTGTTCTCGGTTACTGTGAATAATGTTGCATCTGTCAAGGTGATTGTTGCGGGTCAATTGTTTTGCTCCTGTTCGTAGTTTCGGAAATCAGTCCCGTCTTTGAACTGCACATTATAAACCATCACTCCCGTATTACGTCCAGGTGTGCATTGCTCGTCCTTTGTTGCGGTCCAGATCATCTGATCCAGAACAGTGCGTTCCTCAACACCCCACAACAAAACCACTCTTGTATTGTCGTTTGATTGTGTAAGCGCTCAGCCAAATCTTGAATGTGCTGTAGAGGGGATGTTCGATTATCAGTCCTTGAATGCTTCGGAGTTTAGGGCCACCCTTGCGCAGGCTCCGTGCGCCCTCGCGCAAAGCACGCGCAGAAGCCCGACGCCTGGTGTCGGAGCAGACTTTCCACGTTGCAGAGCTCTCATGCAGTGCGGAAGGCTATGATGGCAGGAAAACCCGGACCTTTTCAATTTGCAGCACTACAAGGGAAGATTATGCCTCATTCACCACGATACCACGATAGAGCATGTGCGAATTTCATTCATATATATGTATCTATATATATATATATTTATTTATTTATTTATTTATTTGTTTGTGTATTTATTTATTGATTTATTTGTGTGTCTATCTATTCGTTTACTTATTTATATTTATATTGAAATTTATATTTATAATTATTTATTTGTATGTATGTATGTATGTATGTATGTATGCAATGTACTACTACAGAGCATTCTCACACATGATGTATCATGCAGTATGTTTGCGTTGAGGTTTACCGACACCCTGGAGGCTCGCAGGGTCGGGCACGTCTGAAATAGGTTCGGGCTCGGCAACTTAAGCCAAAATCGTTGCTACATTCGCCGAACTTGGCAGTAGCATCAGAGAAGCCGAAGCTCCCAAAGGGCTCATGGAGAAGCCGTGGTAAAAACCCTTATGAAAACCCAAAAGAACGCATTCTCAAAACAAGACTTGCTACTGTACCCTGGATGAAGCCCCGAATCTTGAGGCCCCTAACAGACACCTTAGAACCTACTGCAAAGAAGGAGCCTCTTTTAAAGGGGAGCCCCGCAAGCTAGAGTCCAAGCCGCGCGCCAGGCGCGGCAGCACGCAAGAGCTGAGCCCAAGCCGTCGATCGTCACAGGCGCGCAGAAGCCGTTTCCGACACTGAACCCTGGCCCTGAACCCCTAAACCTGAAACTCCCATAGAATCCTATCCAAACTCATGATTGCAAAAAGTCCTGAGAAGCCCCTGCAGGACTCCTTTATAAATTCCCAATGGAGACCCTGAGCGAGAGTAAGGAAGGGATGTCTCAAGCCCTCAGCCATGAAGGGCCGGGCCCCCTCGAAGTCATCGCGGAGCCCATCGAAATCCTCTCGCAGCCCCTCGAAATCCTCTCCGCCGGACCCTCAGTCGGTGGAGAAGCACAACCAGCTGTTTGGGTCAGGGCTCATCTAGGATTCCGGAGGCTAGGGCTTTGGGATACGGTTCTAGCCACGTCCCCATCGCTCTCTTAGGGGCAACAGAGAGCGCACGAACGTGAAGCCGAGCCCGCTGCAGGGATATCGCTTTCACAAGGTTTAGGGCTTCTAGTATCCTCCTTTTGTCGGTGCAAGCTTCACCTGCTAGAGCATGTTGTTATGCAGCCCTACTTGTCCGATTGTGCGTGATGGGAAGTGATGGGGCTGCAGGCAACGTGGCAGCATCAGCTCGTCATCGATGTTCCCCAGCCGCCGGACTGCAATTGACGGGTCTGGGTGCTGTCCCAATAACTTCTGCAGTGGTGTCCAGTAGCATGAAGATTGAGGTCATATGGGGGGGCCTGGCATCCACCAAAAGAAATGGATTTGCAAACGAAACCCTAAAGCCCTCTATCTATGATGGCCCCCTTATTGTAGCCCCATAGCATTTTCCCAGCTACCGAGAAACTCCCAACTCCCTTTACCGCGACTGATCCCGAAGTTGGCTGCGCCCCGCGCGCCCCCGGAGCTTGGGCCTCCTCAGGGCAGGAGGCATATACTTACATAAGGGGCTTCTAGGAGTAGCTGGGTACTCAGAGTCTCACGAGACTTGGCAAGTAATTAGCTTGTAAATAGGGTTGTAATCATTAAGGGGAGGCATAAGGAGGATGCTGAGGCCCCCAGTCCGCCCGACCCAGAAAGTCTTATTGTCCTAGAGCTCCTCCAAAAAAAAACAAAGCCCTTTAACAAAACACCTTTCGAAACAAACCACCTGGCCATGTCACGTGATCGCTCAGGCCCCGAACCTTGAAGCCCTACCTTAAATGCCAGTATGAAACATCGCACAAGTGCTACGAAGCCCCAACATGGCCTAAACTTAAAGCCCTGGAGCCATTACCCGCCTCCCCCCCCAAATCCAAATTCCAAGACCCTGATCACAACACACTCTCTAAGGTCGCGACGGCCAAGAGACTTCGGATTTGGGACGATCGAGCACCTTCGGTCACTCTCTGAGCCTGAAACTCCGCCTGTGGAAGTTAGTGCAAGTTTTTGTTTTAGGTTCTCGGCTTCACGTATCAGGGTTTAGGGTTTAGTATGCGTTTGCTTGTTTCTTCCTGAGTTTGCATGATTAAGGTTTTTTGTGTTAAGGTGTGGGTTCTGGGCTGTCCACTGTAGGATTTCAGGATGTAGTTCGTTTGATTTCGAGTTTAGTTGTTGGCTTGGGGTTGAGGCTTTCTCAGGCAGTTGCCTGGTTTGTTTTTGTTGGGGGGTTAGGGCTTAGTACCGGGCGTGGGGTTTCTAAAAGTAAGGTTCTGTAGTTTTGTATGCGGTTGTGCATAGGACTTATAAACACAGGGACCCCCAACAACCCTTGTCACGGTCCTTGTGCTGAGCAACAACAAAGCCAATATGGGCATCGCAACTCGTTACCCACTTAAATTCCCTACATAGTTATACTAGGATATACCTCAAAACACACTTGTACGAATCAAGGCCCTATACTAATCCGTTGTAGGACCCTGATAGTAACCCTTATACAGAAACCCTGTTCTGACTGTTTAAAGCTGCTCTACTAGGAAAGATCAGCTGGCTACTCCAACGGCGAAGCCGGGCATAAAGGAGGAGAGTTAGGGTGCAGGGGTCAGGCTGCGGGGGGCTTTTCTGGCTTTAGGAGTGTAGGGCTTTAGGGATTTACGGTTTAGCATCTTCAGTTGCGGTTTGTTGTGATCAAGTTACACTGACCTTCGTTCAAAGAGCCAAACCTGAGCATGTCTGAATCCCTAAACCCTGACTGTTCACTGCCACACCCTGGAGGAAGAGCCTACGCCGAAGCTGATCGAGATGGAGCCAGAGCTGGATCGCATGCGAGGTGGGACTCAGGGATATGACCTTGAGGCAAGGAGGTTTCCGCTTGCAGGTTTAATGTTTGAAAGGCGTTCCTATCATGTTCGGGGTTATTCATACTCGGCTCATTTGTACTTTTCGTAGTATAATAATGATATAGACATCCCCTGAGAGTCACGTTTTAACAGTATAACATCCGTGCCAAGACCTAGTCTAAGTCAGTGTTTAGGCCCCGATATATCTTGACGAAAGGGAACGGGGACCGGAGTCTAGCAATGTCGACCCGCGACCGGTGGGCCCTTTCACCTTACCCCTCCCCCCCGAAAGAGCAACATAACACCTATCCCAATCCCCTTGCCCCTAAACCCCTAAACCCAAAGCCCTGAACCCCTAAACCCTCAAACTCAAAGCCCTACCCGAAAAAGAAACCCCAAATCCCATAAATATCCATCCCGGCCAGGAGACTCGCCAGTGCAGATCGACGACTCTGCTCTCGAGGTGCATGATCAGGCCCAACCCCAAACCCTAGGTCCCGAAAACCTGCCTTTTTTGGGTGTGTATTTAAAGAAATCCTAATAAGCAGCCTTGAAAAGGTGAGATTTATGGGGTTCAGTTAAGCCCTAGGTTTAGTTTGGTTCTTTTTTGGTGAGGATCACTATAAGGTTTCCTTTAAGGGTAATTGTAAGGGTTATACATGTTAAGGCCTGAGCTGCCATCCTAGCCATCCCAACACAAATGGCAACTCTCAACGCTTGCGGCCGAAACACCTAATACAAAGCCGTTCTTCAGAATTGGAATGCTATTCCTTCCTCAGATGATACCACCGAAGCCCTGTTACCCCAAATTCTACATTCAAAATCGTGGGTGGCACCTGGCCGGTGGGCCGTGTCAGCCCGGCCCCCGCTGTGAGAGCGAACTCTGGGCATCTAGAGGAGGTTTAGGGTTTAGGGGTGTTGGGCAGCTGGGGGTTTGGTCGCATAGCTTGCCGCAATCCAGCCCTGGACAGCTGTTGAAACGACTTAACTGCTACTAGGCTAGTTAGCCACTGTTGTCACGACTGCTGATTTTTGCGATTACTTGGCTTGGGACTACTATACTCGGTACAAACAACACAGCAAACCGCATTTGCAGGACGATGCTCCACACGAAGAAGACATCTTGAGGACCGTGCTTGGTGTTTTGATTTGATCGAGGCTTTTGAGAAGCCCCTGAAAGAGGACGTTTGGGGTTTTGATGTCTCGGGTCTTATCCTTGATGCTTGAATTATGTGAAATCTTTCAATTGACGCAAAGCTCTCCAAAGGTTTACGTTTCGGGGCATGCCAGGGGGTGAAGGGCTCAGGGCTTTGTCCCACGACGGTTCTGTTAAGTACTGCCGAGCATCTGCTTTGACCACAGGGGCCATCGCAAAATGCCCTGGTCACATCCGCAGCGTGACGTTCTCTAAAGCAGATCATTCAACATAGTCCCCAGTAACAAGGAACATCACTATAGGATGCAGTCCGTCACTAGGTGCAGTCTTCCTGGCAGGCTGCCTATGTTCCTGGCTTGTGCACGCAAGGCCACGGTCTTATCAGAAGCATCATCGTGATGACGAGGGACTGCTGCTTCTGCGATCGGTCAGTTATGCATGAACACGATCATGCTTCCCCCATGCTGCATAGCCTTCGTTTAGCAGGTTTGAGCACCTTGGGGGTGCAAGAGACTAGCAACAAAAACAACCAACAATAGGCACCACGCCGCCATAGTAACAGTAAGAAAAGAGAAACCAGACGAACAACAATAGACATAGTACCGGCAATCGTAACAATCCCAATCTAAGCCTTGTTGAGATGTATGGAGGTGCAAAGAGTCTGGCGCTGGCAGTGCCGCGACCTCTGAACCTTGCAGCTGTTGGTGGGTTAGGTCAGTGCCGGGACGTGCTCACAACCCGGGAGAAGATGTGTTGTTTACGGGACCCATCAACATCCCAAGCCCTGAACCCCAAACTCTAAACCCGAAGTTCGCCCTGGACACATGGATGATCCCACTCTGACAGAGAGACGCGAGACTTGAGGCCAGCGGAAAGCTACACGAGGAGCCTCACAGGCCCGAGGAGGGAAGTGGGGGGGGGCGATTTAGAGGCAGGTTCTATGTAGGCTTCTATAGTAGGTGGCTCTTCAAGGTGCTATGAAGGTCTTCAAGGGGTCTTTTGGGTTCTATTGGGTTCTATATGAGTTCAGGGTTAAAAGGAATTTCAGGCTCAGGGTTTGGGGTTTAAAGGTTTGGGCATTACACTGTTCTAGAGTTCAAGTTTTGAGGCATTAGATTCATTAGATACTGGAAAGTGGATTAGACTTTCTGGGGGCTTCATTGCCTGGCAGGATCTGGAGAGCCCGAAGCACCAGGAGGTTGCCAAAGTCGCTGAGGTTTCCGCTGAGCTCCGACAGCAGTTCTGACTGTGGGATGTGCTTCTTGTGGGGAGTTTCGTTTGACATTTCTCGATTGTTCTCCTGACTTCTGCCCAGGCAGACAAAGATCGGCCACGAGCATCCGCTGAAAACACGGCGGAAGCTCATGGAAATGGCGCGGTACATCTCTCCTCCGGGGTGCAGTCAGGAGAGCCTGCATTGCACCCTGAACCCGAAACCCGGAAGCTTGTGAAATGTAGTCATAGTGTAGCCGAGCGTACGCCCTAAATTGAAAGGAAGAACTGCCGCAGGTGATGCCGACCCTACCGAAGAGGTTGGTAAAGCAAGCAGCGTGGGTCAAGTGACCTGTGGAGCAGAGACGCAGGCAACGTCTCCTGCGGATACTTCCGCTGCCAAAGAAGCAGCTGGTGAGAGAGCCAGGGACGAGGTTCCAAAGTTTGGAGGCCCAACGGCCGTGGAACCTGGTCTCGGGGAGAGCTCCTCGAGGGATCAAGAAGGCGACGGTCGTGAATGTGTGGATTCCGGACGTAGCCAATGCATAGAGCCGAGTGCAACAGCCGGTTCCGCTTCTCCAACACAGCCTCCGCATCGCATTAAGTTTGCAGAAGAAGAAGCTGGTTGCGATGCAAGCAATACCTCAGCTGCCGGACAAGTTGAGTTCGCGGCGGAGAAGAGCCAGGAATCAAACTCGATGGGTCGTCCTTCGGCCACAGAGCTTTGTCCTGGCGAAGGTGCCCTCAGCTACTCGGAGAATCCAGCGTCGCCTTCGGAGGACGGGGCATTAAGGGCAGCAGGAGCAGAGGACCATCGCGACCAAGCCGTGCAAGGGTCTTCAGA